TATAAAAAGGGTCTTTGGGGGATGGGGGAGGACATGTCTTTGAGTGAAGAATGCTGCGAGTGTTTGGGAGAGCCGGCGGTCTCTCGAAGAACCGACCAACTGTTAATGCTTTCTTCTGAATGAATACCAGTTTCTTTTTTTCGTTTGAGTTGAGTAATTTCTGCTGTTAGTCTGAGAATTGTGTGTGAAATTTCTGGGTCATATCAGTAGGTAGATTAGGCTATCACTGGAATGACGCAAATCCTAGGTGCATCAGACGTAGTGATGTTGAGAATCTACAGTTGCAGTTTTAGATAAAAGAGGAGGGTTTCACTGATTTGAAAACTGAAGATACGCTCAGCCTCAGCAGTGTAGATTTGCAAGCTTCAGGGGATATTTTAGATGATGGAAACACTGGGCTGTTATTTTGAGGAAGATCTAAATGGTCCAACTGCCCCTGGAAAAGATGAAAAGGAAAAGAACTTGAGTGCCGACAGCTATGAACAGGCCAGTTTCACTCCAGTTGGTGTGTCACACAAGGATACAGTAGAAATAGCAGTTTCTACAGAAGGTGTACAGGGTACAACTCACCTAACAAACAAACCTTTTCCTATAACTCAACCTACTCAAGATATCAGTTTAGAGAGACAGGATTCATCTCTGTTGCTTTGCGCAGAAGCACTGGTTAGCAGGGGGCAACCTTCTAAGGTAACTTCAGATGTCTTGGTCGACAAAGTAATGGTTGAACCTAGTGAACTTCCATAACTGGATCAGACAGAAGGAAAGACCCTAGCTCCAAACTCTAATACTGGGACCTCGTTTCATGTGTCTAATCATTCACTTCCCATTGGCTCAGGTATGATCGTCCATTCGGTTTTTGGTATTAATCTGGGTTCTGTGCCTGAAACAGGTGCTCTGGCTTCACAACTGGAGAGAACAGCTAGTGGAGGGGGGTTGATATTGAGGTGTTTGGGTATGAAAAGTAAGAGGGGGAGTGCTTTTTGAAAAAGAAATGAGAATTTTAGAGAGGATTTGGAAGCAGATCGATGCTCTGTTGTAGGAATATAAACAGAAAAAAGAGAGAGGCAACCCCTAAAAAGAAAGAGCCCTCGGTGAGTCCTCGAAGAGGTGAGAAGGAAGTACATGGTGATGGAATGGAAGCCCCCAGTTCCTAACAAAATAAAGCTGAATTTTGATGAGAGCTCTGTAGGAAACCTGGGATTGACAAGCATTGGTGGTGTGTTTAGGACCTTTAGGGGTAGATGACTCAATAAAGACTAAGCTACTAGCACTACTTCAGGACCTAAAACTTACCAAACAAGCAAATTTTAAAAACTTGGGAAGGTTGAAGGGGACTCAAAAATGGTGATAGCATGGTCTAACAGCAGGGTAATGCACAATGAATTTATAGACATTCCCTAAGGGAGGTTGAAAGTCTAGCAAGGGAACTCAATGCTTCTTTCACATGGATCAGAAGGACTGCAAATGAGCTGGCTGACTCATTAGCCAAACAGGGAGTTTACAAGCAGCAGCTTTTACAATAACGCTGCAACTTTGTTCTATTAATTTAAATAAAATTCCTCTTTGCGGATAAAAAAAAACAAGTTTGAAGTGCACACACATTGTGGAGGAGAGAAACACACTAAGGATACATGCTGGATTTTTTTTTTTTTTGAGAAAAATTAACTGATTTCATTAGAAAGAGAAAGAGGTACACAAGGTGTACAGATACATAACATCCTCATTTGAAACCAAAAGCCCTTAGGAGAGAGAAGAAGCCTAACAAGGGTTTGGGGCCCCATGGACATATAGCAAGTTCAAATTAGTGTTTTAAAAGGCATGGGAGGCGTACGCCTGGAGGCGCGCCTCCAGGCGAGGCGCTCCCAAAACGCCCTGAGGCGTATGCCAAAGGCACTGACACCTCTGAGGCGTACACCTCTTACACTTTTCTCATGAACCATGCTAGAGGCGTATGCCTCTTGTGCCTCATGCACATCTGATATGAAAATACATAAAAAAAAAAAAAAGAAAAAAGAAAAAAAGGAAAGGAAAGGAAAGGAAAAGAAAAGAAAGGGAAAGAAAAGGAAAGGAAAGAGAAGAAAAAAAAGAGAAAAGGAAAGAAAAGAAAAGTAAGGGAAGGGAAGAAAAGATAAGGCGAAAGAAAATGGTTTGCCCCCTGTCCCTTCGGCTGGGGGGCGACCAAACCCCCCGCTCCCTTTTCGATGCAGCCCAATTTGTTTTTTCGCTCGCTCGCCTTCGCTTCGACAAGACCCCCCCTTTGAACTACTGTTATGCATTTTTGTTCTTCTTAATATAAAAGATCTTTATTAAAAATAAAGAAAAAATGAGATCCCCCTTCCTTTTCATCCTCCTCATAACCCCCCTCCTCTTAAGGAGGCTTACGCCTCTTTGTGTTTGGGAGGCTTACTCCTCTTGCGTTCTGAATTACGCCTCACGCCTCTAGGTAGTGGAACGCCTCGCGTCACACCTCCGCGTTTTAAACACTGGTTCAAATATGGCTAATGGAGTACATAAGACTGCAACAACTAGTGCTTCTCCTCATATGGGACCAATGTTTTAAAATGTGGAGGTGTAAACAAGGTGTTCCACTCAATGTTCAAAATATCTACACATATCGGCCAATACGTATCATATTGGGAGCTTTCCGATATGCCCCTACAAAGGGTGTATCAGAGTTTTGACCAGTTCAGGGGGTGGACAGACCTTAAACCGGCCCCTCTGAACCAGATTTTAAAAAAAAAAAAAAACTAAAAAACCCACCAATACTGCCCGATACGCCTCTAACCTTGGTTCCACTACCGAAAGGCATGAGGTGTAGTTCAGAACGTAGGAGGCATAAGCCTCCCGAGTGCAAGGAGGCGTAATATGTATCTTTTTTGTAGTTATAATAATAATGATAAAGCATTATATTAATAAAAACTGTAATTTAAGCACGAAAGCATACATAAAACATAGTTTCAAATGTCAAATTGCCAATAAGCTCAATACTTGGGTTTTAAATCCCAAGTTCCCAACTCAAGATTCATTTCCAAGTAACAATGTACAACACATTCATGATTCAACCATGCAAAACGGATTACAAAAGAACTTTAAGGATTGAGACTTGATCAAAAGATTCAAACAGCAAGCTTCAAACTACCAAATGATGCTAACAACAAGCTTTAACTTCTGTTTAATATTTAAAGTTTAATTTAAACTTCATATAAAACCAATACTAAAGTAGCTAAACTAACGCAGTATTACATTATTTCTAACAACATTTTATTTGTTGAAAAACAGAGTTTTGAAGAAGATTGCTAACAAAAGTCGATAAGCCCAATAGCTCATAGCCCCATACCTGTAGCCACTGGTTTCCTATTAGAAAGTCAGAACTTTGAATTTCAAAGACGGAAAGCAGTGAACAGCAGTATCTTTGGTCTTCCAGAATAAAAAGAGGATCAATAAGAAGAAAAGGAGAAGAAAAAGAAGAAGAAAGATGTCAGTTAGTCAAACTGTTCAAAGGATGATTATCCAAGAACACAGTCAACCACAGAGAAGAAGGAAAAAAAACAGAAGAAAAGAGGAAAAAAATAAATTACATTGTATGCTCAAGCTTGAGCATTGAAATAAGTAAGCTCAACAAAAACGTTGCAAATTTGACAAAGACATCGAAGAAAACAAACAAACCTATCACAGGAGAGACTTGATTCCAGTTCAACCTTCTGGTTAAAGCTTTGTTCACACCCTAGCCGGCATTCTGATTGGCAGAATCAATCGATTGGAGGGATTTTTCCCCCTTTAGCACTTAAAAAGATGATAATATGAAATAGGAACCACGATAAAATCGGCCCCCACCAATTACATCTTATAACACGTGAGACTCATCAAAAAGATGTGAGGCAGATGCTTCTTGTATAAAGCATGCCAGAGGCACATGCCTCCTGCAAGGCATATGCTTCAGTACATGCCTTGCCTCTGTACAACAGGTGTATGCCTCACGTGTTCCAACACATTCCTATGTGAGTCCACGTGTTTTTGGGATGCATTACGCAGAGGCACGCCTAGTATGTGCCTCCCGTAAAAATTGAGAAAGGAGCTTTATGAAAGTTCCAATTAAACGGTGCTCATTCTAAGTCCAATATAAGCATATTTTTGGGCTATGCTTAGTTTATTAGACCATAATTCAAGTTGTACTTTAGTGAGAGTGATTAATTTTTTATGCTTTAGATAAATTTGTATTGACTTTTGTATCTTAATGCTAAACTTTTATTAATTTTTTAAATTTTATGGTTTGTAATTATTTTTGCATTATTTTTAGGTAAAAAGTTTTTATAAAGATATTTTTTGTAATTAATTCTATAAAAGTTGGTTAAGGGTAAATTTGGTATTTAAAGAAAATTAATGCATTACATCAACACTTTCTATTTCGAATGCTAATGGAAGGAAAACATCTGTACCTTTTTTCAAAACAATATGGGAGGTTTTTGTTCGGGTCAAAAAAAATATAAATTACTCCTCTTTTAAATTATTAGAAAACCAAAAGAGGTTTTTATAATTTTCCCAATTTTTATATAGAATTTAAGTTGAAAATTACTCCTCTTTTAAATTGAATCATGTATAGTGGCAGAAAATCTAAAAAATAGAATTTAAGTTGATTTTAGATTAATTAAACTATACTTAAGGTTAATAGATTTTTATTAATTTTTCTTTTTATTAATCCTTATTAAATTTAATTAATTATATTAAGTTTTTATTTTTCAATGAAATTTAAGTTCATTAGTAAAAATTAATTATAAAACTAATAATTGTTAGATAAATTTTTATTAGTTTTATATTAATTTTAAATGGATATTAGTTTTTAAGTTATCTTATTACATTTTATTAATTTATTTGTTTTTATTATATTAATAAAAATACTTTTATCAAAATAATAATTAATAATTATTTTTATCTTATTTAAGTAATTTATAAATTATTTTTACTATGGTTAATTAATTTTTATTATTTTAAATAGAACACAAATGAATTAAATTTTTATGATGTTCTATTAAATGTTTTCAACTCCCCGTTTACTTAGATGGTTAAACCATTTGAACCATCACTCGGCCCTAATTTCTAATTTTGGGTTTCCTAAAGCCTACTATTTTGTCAAAAAACGTTGATTTGGAAATTTAGCCTAATAATATAAAATATTTAATTAGCCTAATTTATTTTGAAATATAAATTATTTAATTAGTTAACTCAAAAATTAATTATCCTTTAAATTGAAGTAGATCATTTAGCGTAATAATATTTCATTGAATATCCTCATTTTTTTATAATTATAATTTAATATAAATATATCTAATGTGTATAAAATTATAGTTAAATTGAAATGGTACAAATATAGATAAAGTTAAGGAATTTTTGGAAATTTAATGAAATAATGAAGAGGAGAGAGAACTAATGCCATGAGTTATTATCTTATTGAAGGGGAGAGAGAGAAGGGAGAGAGAGAGAGAGAGAGAGAGAGAGAGTGTTAATGGCATAATTAATGAGAAAATATAATTGAAGGAGTTAAGAAAGAGGAGAGGGAGTTAATGGTGAGTTAATGAGAGCATATAAAAGTCTTAAAGCTTATTGGCCACTTGAGTTATTTTGTTCAATTTAAAAATGAGAAAAATTAAAAAAAAACAGAGAAAAGGTTAGCGCTTCTCAAAAACAACCAAAAAAATTATAAATGCTCCTCAAAATGACCAGAAATTAGGAAAGTGCCAGCTTGGCACATTCCATTTGAATATATAGATATAGATATGGGACAGACCACTACTTCCTCTAATTGCTTTCCAAAGTTTACTACAAAAGAGGAAGATATTCTCAATCGGGTATGGCTCAATTGAATCAGTCCTCTATTGCCTCCTCATCTTTTGCAAAGACAAGTATTATTTCTGCCCCCTTAATGTTGTCCAGCCTTCCTCTTCGGTTCCATGGTTTATTGACTCAGGAGCCTTTGAACATATGACCAAAAATCCATCATTATTTTCATCATATCATTTTGTGTCTGGATGAAACAAAGTGAGGGTTGTTGATGGCTCCCTATCAAATATCCATGGGAAGGGAGACATACAACTCGAGAAGGATTTGTCTCTCAAAACTAATTTACATGCTCCTAACTTTACTACTAATTTACTTTTGGTCTCTAGAATAACCAAATCCTTGGATTGTATTGTAACTTTCTTCCTTTCTCATTGTGTTTTATGGGACTAGCTAATGAAGCAAACAAACTTAGGAGATTTAGACAAGAGGTGGATTAGAAGTATTTGGGGCTTATATGCACTGTGTTTTAAAAGGCGTGGGAGGCGTGTGCCTGGAGATATATATATATACATGGGAGGCATATGCCTAGAGGCACGCCTCCAAGTGAGGCGCTCTGAAAACACCCTGAGGCGTATGCCAGAGGCACTTTTTTCATGAGGCATGCTAAAGGTGTACACCTTATGCACATCTTATATAAAATGACAGAAAAAAGAGAAAAAAAAGGAAAGGAAAAGAAAAAGAAAAATAAAGAGAAGAAAAAAAGAGAAAAGGAAAGAAAAGGAAAGATAAGGGGAAAGAAAGTGGTTTATCCCCTGCCCCTTCGGCTAGGGGCTTCGCTCCTCCATTCCTCTTCATCCTCCGCCTAACCCCCCCTCTTAAGGAGGCTTATGCCTCCTTGTGTTCAGGAGGCTTATGCCTCTTGCGTTCTGAACTACGCCTCATGCCTCTAGGTAGTGGAACGTCTTGCGTCACGCCTCCGCATTTTAAAACTTTGTGTGTGTGTGTATATATATATAACACATTTACTTGTAAAAAACATGTATTCATTAATATTATAATATATTTATTTATAAATATGTTTATATTGCAATTTTTTGTAATTTTTTTTATAAAAAGACATGTATATATTAATATATATGATGAAAAAAGTTGAAAAAAATACTTATATATTTTGCTTTTCTTTATATAAACTTCTTTTTTTCTAATAATTTATTAAATTTTTCATAATTTGAATTAGATCGGATCAAGTTTGGATATCCGACATCCTTAACGGATTTGAATTCAAAACACCATTTATGAGATCCAATTAGATCTTCGCATCGGATCTCAAATATCTGATAACGAATCGAATTTGTATATACCCTTTTCAAATCTGATCCGATCTGTTTGCATCCCTAAGTTGGTCAATGGCTCCCTTTTCGGGGGCTTCAGGAGTGTTAACCATGTGGAGAAATGAAATTTTGGAGTTAGTAAAGGAATTGATTGGTAGGTTCTCTTTTTCAATGAAATTCATAAATGTTTAGAATGATTTTGTTTGGGTTTTGACAAATGCGTATGGTCCCAATAGTTATAGGAAAATGAATGAAATGTGGGAAGAGTTGTACACATGTGGGATGGCCCTTGGTGTTTGGGAAAGATTTTAATGTGGTTAGATTTACTAATGAAACAAATATTCCCCACCAACATATTACCACAAGTATGAGGAGGTTTAACGATTTTTTTGACATTTTTGAGTTGAAAGAACCCCCTCTTTTGTAAGCAAGGTTTACTTGGTCCTATTTTCAATAGAACCCACTTTGTTCAAAGTTGGATAGATTTCTTTACAATCTAGACTAGAAGAATCATTAGGAGAAAATAGTGGCTAGAGCTCTACCTACTCCTTTTAGATTTAAAAATATGTGGTTGACTCATCCAGACTTCATGAGGAAAGTTAAGATGTGGAGGAATGAAGAGTTAAGGAGAGTGTAGTGGAAGGGTGTGAGGTTCACTGTTTTAAAAGCGCAAGGCGCAAAAAAGGTGCAGGGGTCAATTTGCGCCTAAGGCACAAGGCGCAAGGCGAGGAGCACGCCTTTTTGAAGCAAGGCACAAAAATAAAAAAAAAATGTTAGAAAAATCAAAAATGCCAAAAAAATAAAAATATTAAACATAATATTAATAAAAAATATAAACTTTAAATTTTAAAATAAATGTTTTAAAAAACCTATTATCTAAAATTAGAATACATAAACATAACATGTAAAGCATATTCAAATGTGAATTTAAAAATAAAATCAAACATATAAAACATTTTCAAGCATGTAAAACCCACAATCTCTTTTTTTTCTCAATTGCATTACTTAAAGTAGCTAATGTAATGTAAAGCATATTACATTCCTGATTTTACGAGCCGCCTTTGTGCCACGCCCCTTGAGGAAAGCCCAAATGAGTCCATGTTAGGGTCTTAAATTCTTAATTCTCACACAAAAAATAATTATTTTATAATTTTAATTGCTTTTTGAGAAGATATTTTAGTAGGATGAATGAATAAACATTACCAAATAGGTGCCTACCCTAAAATGCGCATTGCTTGTGTGCCTAGGTGCGCCTTTTAAATCACTGGTGAGGTTTCATAAGAAATTAAAGAGATTGAAAGAAAAGATTAAGGAGTGGAACAAGGAGCATTTTGGAAAACTAGAGAACTAGAAGCTAAACCTAATGAGTTGAATTGAGGAGTTAGATGAGAAGGAAACTCAAGGTAGCTTGACTGAAGAGGAAAGAGTATTGAGAAGGGGATTGAAAAAAGAACTAGAGGAGGTCATTTACAAGGAAGAGATTTGTTGGAGGCAAAAGTCCAAACATAAGTGGATTAAAGAAAGTGATGAAAATACTAGATACTTCCATACCTTGGCTAATGGTAGGAGATGAAAAAAAAAATTGTGGACAAGTTGGAAGTAAATGGAGAAGTGATATCAATGAAATCTTAATGAATTTTTACTTATCAAAAAG